CCCCAAAACCCCAAAACCCCAAAACCCCAAAACCCCAATATTCATTGCTAAATTGAATTAACTGTAAAATGGAGAGTTCTAGGCAGACCACTGACTGACCTAAATTCCTAAATACAAGGCGGATTTCCATCCCCAAAGGTTTCTCTGGCTCATCTAAAAGGTATTTATGAATAACCCTCAATTTAGATACCGAAGAAATAGCTGTGGGGAGAGTTTAAAAGGCGGAAAACCATCCCATAACCTCGTTCTCCCAGTTTATGACTTTAAATAACCGTAAGATAATTACTTTCAAGAAGATTCATGAGAAGGTCAAGTAAGTTACTTATCAAATTCTCGGATTTTCCTCCTGTTATAGACCCTGGGATTTCCTTGAGCTTAGCTCAGATCTTAATCCTGATAAAATCCATGCATAAAATGTTATAAAGCTCTTTAAGTGAGATTTCCTCTAGAGTAATTCTGGAGGTAGCAGCTCTGGGATGCCTAAGCTATGTTTTTAAGGCTTTGGGTTGATATTTAAGGGAGAATTTAGTTGCAAAGGTCTTGAAGTTTGGTTACAACATGGAGGGGCACGAAGATGAGAAGGATTTGGAGGTTGAGAGGGAGATTTAATTATAAAAAGCTGGGTTTAGGGAAAATTGAGTTTTAAGTGAGTTTTAGGGGGTTTTAGAGGGGATAGAAATAGATTTTAGAATTGGATGGGTAGGGATTTTTTGAAATTTGGTATCTTTGGTTGGAAAATCAGATTGTATGCGTGATGAGTAAAAGAGTTTGTATTTTTTAATAATTCTTTTAATCTTGTGGGAGCATTTAACTATGTTACTAAGCACCATTGCTTTCATTTCTTGACTATATGATTAAAAAATTCTTATTTTCCTTACAAATACCAACTTAACATATTTCAGATGGAGTATTTCAGTAAAAATGCAAGAAAGAGCATCTAGTGTTCCTAATTTACACAAAAAGATCCCGAATGTAAAATATTATTAATTTCTAGTCTCCAAATTCTCTTCCAAATGATTCAACTCGGAGAAAACATCATTTCAATCGCTTTCAAGAGGTATTTTCCTATTATATGCATTTTAGAATAAAAAGAAGGAGAAATCAATCCATGACTTGAACTTCTCTCAAGCAATCCTTCAGACACTCGAAACGAGCAATAGCTCATTATTGGTACACCATAGTCTAATCCCTAGAACAAAACAGATCGTACGAAATACAATCAATTCAGAAAGGAGAGCAATAACTTCAAGAATACATTTACAAAATAAATATTTGGAACAAAAGAAGTTCCTCCATAACTCCAAAACCAAGGATAAGAATTCTTCCTTATCACACACCAAGCATAGTTCTAGCAGGCGAACTCTGAAGAGCTACAGGTCTTTCAGGAAGATTGATATTCAGAATTCAAGAGCAGTTATGAGGAAACTAGTGAGGATAGGGTCTAATCTCACTTTAGCTTGAGAAATTTAAAGGGTACCAGCAATCAATCAACGAAGGTATCCTATTTTAATAGCTGTTTTAGATGGTCCCAATATTTACAACGAGCAACAAAGAATCATGGATATCATTGAAAATGAAAAATAAAGATCTTACTGGTACCCATCTCCTTGTTATGCCCTTCTAGATAATATTAGGAAGGAACTCAAAACTACTTATGAGAAGTTGAACAAGGAAAAATTGTATGAATTGTGACAACATTTTAGAGGTTTTCTGGAACGAACGGCTATTGGTAGCACTAAAAATTTCTATCAAAATTCAGATTCGTACTTAACAACCCCTGTTAAGTTAAACTTGAACACTGTCGAAGGTGAGTTTCTTCTCATCCTGTAGGCCCTCAGCACTCAAGTTCAAGCAAAAAGATCAAGCTTAGTGAGAGGGCTCTTTTGAATACTCGTAAGGACTTCTTAACAAACCAAAAAATAAAGGAGGAAGAGATAGGAATTTCGATTACTGCCCATGATTACTTCAATCTGTTTTCTTCAGCTAACAAGAAACTCCTTTCCCTAAAGAATAAGGTGATTTCTTCACAGATATTTGCTGTCTCAAAGATAAAACCTGGGAATACCTCTCAAGATAAAGAGAGTAAGTCTCCCGAATTATGCGTAGAAGCATCAACTGATAAGATAAAGAAGTACCTAGCAATCTGCATCCTAAAGAAAATCATTGAGCATCAGGAGTTTGAGCAAGCAAAGATCAGGAAAGAAGAGATTTATCAGAAGTTCACTTGGGTAAAGAAAATTAAAAGATTTGCACATCAGATCCGTGATTGTTGAGATTGCCTTGAGGTGATGAAAGTTACTTCAGAGCAAATCTTGGTTCATAATTTGTTCCCTCAAAAATCCTACTATCGGCCAGGCTCAAGAGCTCTGATCGAGGAGACTAAGGAAGGCAATCTCAAACGTGTTAGAGAAATAATAAAGAAAAATAGGTATGATAAGAAATCCATAAATTTAGATTTACATTGTATGACTTTGATAGTACAAATCAGACAGCTCTCCACTGGGCAGCAAAACGAGATTTTCATGAAATTATCAAGTTTTTCATTGAAGTAGGGTGCTATATCGGTAATTTTGTGCTATAATATCTTAGACTGTAAAGATTCTAGCAACAGAACTCCTTTATATCTAGCTTGAAAGCGCGGCAACACAAGATCTGTGAAAATACTGCTTCTGAATCGTGCAAATCCTACTATAAAGACTCTTCAAGGAAAAACTTGCTTAGATGCAACTTCAGATATAGAAATTCAGAGCTACTTGAAGAAGGCTATCTTGTGGAGGGTCGCAAGAAGATTCTACAACAGCAAAGCAAGGATCAATGAGCTTGAAAAGCAAATGAAGAGTTATCACACAAAGGTACAAGAACAGATCGATAAAGAATTACTATAATTTCAATATCACGATTTAATTTAGGGGTTTTGGGGTTTTGGGGTTTTGGGGTTTTGGGG